ATCAATCATAATGGATCACAGATGAGTTGCTTTCTACGTTACCCGAAGTGCCATTGAACCCGTTGGTTACGTTACTGTATTTCAACTTTTGGCGTGATCTGAAAACAATAATGATTTTGGCCCCAGAGCCTTTGGTAGATCGGTAGATGTTCGGAAAAGTTGCGGGCCAAGCACATATCCTTGTGGAACTCCACGGGTAACATCCATAGGACTGGAAAGCAAATCAGAAACGTGAACCGATTCGGTCCGATGTCGGAGAAATGCTTCGATTCAACCAAGCACGAGGCCCCGAATACCGGTATTATAGAATTTCCACAGTATAGTGTCGTGGTTCACCCGATCAAACGCTTTTGAAAAGTCTAGATAAATACCGTCTACCGCGTCGCCGTCATCAACTGCTTATGTCCATTCTTCTAGTGCGATCAGCAAATTGGTAGCCCAGGATCGCTTCTCTCGGAATCTATATTGATTTGATGACAAAATGTTGTGCTTCTCTAGGTGTTCCATCAGGGAATCTGCTACTATGGACTGCATGAATTTGGACAGCACTGGAAGGAGGGTTACAGGGCGGTAGTTAGCGGGATCTCTACGGCAACCGCCTTTGTAAATAGGTGAAATTACTCCCTGCTTCCAAGACGGTGGGATTGCAGTGTGATCGAACATCCTTTGGAATGGGAAGGCTAGTGACTCGGCTATATGATTCGCCAAGCAAATAAGGGTTTTGGGGTGAATATTTTCTGCCCCTGGCGATGAATTCTTCCTCAAAGCCAATAGCTTTGCTTCAACCGTTTCGGTAGTGAATTATACTTTGGTTAGTGAAGGATGTAGAATTGGATTCATCCAGCGAAGGAGGTACAGTCGTTCGTTAGTTGACGCAGCAAAAACTTGGACATACTGGTTCTTCAGCATTTCAGCAGCTTCCATTGTATTAGTTGTGGCTCTTCCAGAAGAACTGAGCACCGGTATTCCATGTTTAACTTTTCGAGCTGATTTAACGTTTCTACAAAAGCTTTGGGGTTTGAAATAAATCTCTGTGCTAGAGATTCTTCATGGTTAAGTTTATCTTCGCCCACCAACTTGGTGCAGTGTTTTCGCAGCAATCGGTGATTGTTCCAGGTGCATGCATTTGGAAGTGGTTTGTACTTTCTCCGAGAGAGGTCCCTCAGAAATATCCGTTTCTTTGTACGGCTTTGANTGTACGGCTTTGAATAGGTGATTTCCGGCTGCTAGATTTGATAACAACTTTTACCTGGGTTACTGACGCTAATAATTGTTCCAGACTGTCAGTAAATTCCTGCCAAACGACTAAAGGGTTGTGCTCTTCCCTATGGGATATCCAATGAATAGAAGAAGCCAATCTCTGCACCTTTTCATAGTTTATGAATGTTCAAATGTTGTTTGGGTTAATTACTTTGACAGAAGCGGAACAAATGTACTTGAACAACAGTACAGCATGGTCACCTTGTCCCCGAGGGGTTGTTACGGCGACGGATTCTATCATCATCTCTTTGTTTGTCAACACTAAATTTAGTATGGATTGTAATTGCATGTTTCCAAATGTGGTATGCTCTTTCACGTGGTTGTACAGTGGTCTTGAGGCAATTAGCTCTATAAATTCCTGTTTGAATAAAGAATGGAAGGTCATTGGTTACCGAGGTTGGGACAATTGAAATCACCCATTAGAAGAACATGTGTAAATCGTTTTGCGAGAATGTGTAACATAGTCTTCCAAAGAGTCATATTGGCTGATTCTGTGGCTGACGGAGGGCGATAGATGACACCAGTCAAACAGTCATCGTGTTTGAACAATCTCAACCTACACCACAAAGTGTCAGGAGTCGAAACTGGGGGGGGGTGGATTTGCTCGCAATCAAGATTTTTTCGACAATACAGTAGAACAACACCCCCACGGGTAGGACGATCGCATCTGAGCAGAGACATTTGTGGTAAGGACAATTCGGAGTCCGGAATATCAGCTGCAAGCAACGTTTCTGTAACTGCAATAATATCCCACTGACCTGATATGAAACGCAAATTCAGCTCTGGAAATTTGCTGAGGAGTCCTTGAGCATTGGTTTGGTAGCAGTTTAGTTTAAATATTTCCGGTGTAGAAATCCAATTAGAGGTGATATCTTGGCCTACCCCTTCGCCGTCGGCTACCATTGTTTTTTTTATAGAGAAGCTCTGGTACTTTAGACCACCGATTGTAGGACGGAACTTGGTACTTGCATTGAGCGATCCCATGTATTAGTAGGGTTCTCGGGATATGAATGTGTTTGAAGCCCGGGATTTAGTAAGGGTCTCACACGTAGTTCCGGAGGCTGTCTGTTCTTTCGTTCTCGCCGTAACTGCAAGACGGTGTTGGCCATATCTGAAATGCCAAGGGTAACTCATTATTCTCGGACCGTTGCCATCAAAATTTGGTGAGCAGGAAAGACGGCTGTTTGAGGTTGTCAGAAGACCGGGACACCCAAGTAAATTTTGAATTAGTCACCATTCTCGTCAGTTGTTCTGATGACTTTTAGGCTTATCTCAATCGTTCAACTGCTGGACACCATGGATGAGGACGACCGTCTTATTTTCCTGTACCTGTGCTCTTTGGATCGGACTGATGCTGCATTCGTTCCCCCCATGGTCTATCAGGAAAGACTCTGGTTCTGCAGGAACCATTTTTGAGGAGATAACCAGAAAGAAGAACTTCCTTCAAGTCCTTCTCATCTTTCCGGGTCACCCGGAGTAGTCTGTGTTCTCCGGCATGTGGCGACATCGGTTGGCGCATAAGTCTTGTGAGGTCCACGGGTAGAACATTATTGCCCATCTGCGTGCACAAACCCTTCCAGTGTTCTAGCTCTTCTTCTTGTCGTTCTCTCAGCGGTTGTTTTGTCTGTTCAGATACATTTGTGCAAATAAGCGTCAAGGCTGTATTGCTGCCACCTTTTTCCCGCACCATCGAAGGCTTTGGTGTGAATATAACAGGTTTCGCTTGTGGGACGATCTTCTTCTGCTCAAGAACTGACACTGTATCATTCGTTACTACAGCAGCTATGTTTATGTCAGTGGGGGTTGTGCATTGCGTTGGAGCGGCGCTGACTAAAGAACACCTTGGACGCTTAGTCAGTCACTGAATTGGGCTCTCTGGGAAGATCTGGGATCTCAGGGTAGTTATCTTCTGTTATAATGCTGCAATTTTTCCACTAGCCGTTTTCCTTACAGAGCTTAATAGAATCTCGCTGGATAGAACGTAGAAGTTCCTTCAAGCTGATACCACAATGAGGGTAATGCGTGGAAACTTGAACAAGTTTACGCGCGTGAATAAGATCGAGAATTCGCTCCGAACTGCCCAGAGGTGGAAACTTGAAACACATAGCGTACAGATCCAATAAAGTGATGTCACTCAATGTAGCTTGCCGAACTGAGTCGAATGAGTGCTGACTCAACATTTTCCGACGAGTTTTGACACAGAAAATCCACTGAAACCGAAAGCACACAAATTGAGCGATAATAAGCTATCATTTTCCAGCCCTCAAAAAACCAGAGAAAATTATAGGGGAGGAGTATTCGGGTATGGGTAATTGAACAAAATCTCTTATCACCGAAATAAAGAAAAGTAGTGGCGCATCCTTCGTAAGTGAAAAGAGAACACTTTCAGCTTGCGATCTTTAGTTTGGGTAGGTAAAGCCATGCGAAGATTGCTTTGAAGTGTGACACCGAAGTACTTCACATAGCTGACCTTGCTTACCGCTTTTCCTTGAATCTGTACATTGTTGGAGCGAGATGAGGAATGGTTAAAAGTTAAAATATATTAAATACATTGTTCCGGATCAATATTAGGACCGGTAAAAGGGAATAATTGACGAGGTGGGATAGGTTAGAGTTATATTTAACCAATTATGATTCGTTTGATACGGAAACAGAAATGGCGATATCCACAGCTTCGTTCAGGAGAGTAATAGGTAAGTCACTGATATAAGTCGCAAAAAGATGGGGTGATAAGACAGCTACTTGAATGACACCTGAACTATTGAGTGACGAAGTTTTGCTGTCTTCTTCCCAAGTAAACATACTGATATATTTGCGAAAAGCAAACACTAAGTCAATCAAGAAGAGAAGTGGGACAACCAGACGATTGGAGCTTGGTGAGTAAAAGAGAACGGGACACCGAGTCAAAAATGGAAGAATAATCAAGAAATGCACAATGCACATATTTGAACTTCTCGTTTAGGGAACTGCAGTTAAAGTGAACTAGAGAAGTGAAAGCAACCAATGCAGACCGGTTATGTCTGTATACAGACCGATAAATGCCCTGTGGTGCTGAGGGAGAACTGAAAGGCGATGCAGAACTAACCGCTTCATCAATTTTAAACCAGTGGAAGTGAGAGCAATTGGCCTGAAACGTTTCACAATTGGGGCTTTTGTCGTTCCTTTCGGGATGGGTGTAATTCTCATCGGAATAGCTCGCACCTCGAGTGAAAGATTAACCAAGTGTACAAATATGTGAGACAGTATCTTAGGGTCGTGTATAAAACTGGTTGTTCTTAAGTTATCCGGACCATGCGCAAAAGACATCTTGAGAGAATATATGTGTTTGTAAAGTTCAATAGAGGTGATGGTGTAGAACAAGGATGAGATGAAAATCTTAAACGCCAAAGATTAGATCCCTCAAAAATGTGCTTGACTTAAGGTAGTTAACACTTCTCATTGTTTATAATTATAATTTTTATGCGTTTTTCTGGTAATTTATATATTTTTTAAATCTTCAGCTTCATTGCAAAACCATATAATGAAATTCCTTCTCAATCAGTATTCTTTCTGTACATATTCCAACGCATCTCCGGCTAAAATCAACAAAAGAGATTGCTGAACATTATTATCAGACCATTTGAAATAAACGCTTGGGATGGTGCGCAGACGACTGTGTACACAGTGTTGATTGAAAATCTAATCCCAGGCGGATAATACTCCAACTGTGCTTTGAAAGAACCCAATCCCGTGGTCAACGACGAACAGGAACGCAAGTGGTTTTGGGAGAAATCGCGTGAACCTGTCAGACTTGCAAAGCATTGACGCAGGCGTGCATGTGCATGTGTCAGCAGGTAATTGATTTTACTGTTCTTGTTGTTGTGGTTATTGTTTACGCACTGACTTGCTCCAAAACTCGAACCCTGATGTTCATTTAGTACGTATATTGGACAATCAAAACGCATTTTTCACACCACAGCCGTTTTTCAGAAGTCTATAATCGGATCTAGGCAAATTGTTCACTCGATATATAGTTTACATATTTTGTGCAATGAACGAGCGAACACCGAAACTTGGTGGAGAATGAGGGAGCCAACAAAACAATCAACTGAAAATGTCGGGACAGTTGTTTTACCATTGGTGTGTTGTTGTTGGTGGTGGTGGCGTTGATGTTGGTGAGGATTATGATGTTGTCGGATTTGGTGTTGGTGATGGTGGTGGTTGTGATGGGGTTGGTGGTGGTGCTTGTGGTATTTCAAAATGCCCAAGATACGTGAATGTGTTGAAAACTATTGCCAATCGATTGTCGACTCCAACTCATGTTGGAAATCAAAAACGCCAAATACACGGACCTTAAAAATCGAACGTGCAAAATGTGTGTTTTAGTGAACAACAATCCAACGTGCAATATTAATTCAATACATGTTGGTCAGTCGATCAGCATGGATGTTTATTCGCGCATCTGATTAAACATGTGATAAATTGAAAAGGCCCGCTCAAGATTGGGCACAATAACTTCATCTATGACGGATCACTATTGGATTTCATCGCTCTGTGTGTGAGGGGTCCTTGGATTGGGTAATGCGGGTCATCACCTCAAATTACGTTTACCAAAGACAGTTTACTATAGCTCTACGATCGACAGAAGCCCTCGACAATTCGGAACTGACTGAATTGACCTAACGAGTTTAAATCCATGACAAACAGATCCATCCTATTCGCCGATCAGAGAGAGAACTTTGACCAACAACAAAATGTCCTAGTTGATACCGGACTACAAATGAATACCAAAACCTAATCATATTTTTTGTTTAGCAAAATACACAGTCTTACCGAGCTAGTCACTTAATGATCCTGATTCGAATCTTTCGTGTCGCACGGACTTGATTAACTGATTCTGACAGTCGCCAGCGTGAAGCATATCACAAATCCGCATGAAGCGTCGTCTATGCTGTATCACATTTTAACTCCTTCGTAATGACTTCGTACGTGGTAGTTAAATTCTAAACGACCAATTTCATATTCGGTCTAACAGAAGAACTAAAGCGTTTGAACATTCGTCGACTCCGTGGTTTCTGAATCCAAAAAAGGACATATTCCGAGGTTGAAATATTTCCATAGCTAAATGGTCATTAGGATTAACTTTAATAGATTTCTTCTGAAGGCGAATGGTGTTCATTTACTAAAATGAATTACTCGCAATTTGCATTCAATGAAGACACCTGGATTATCACATAATCATGTAAAAATCGAAATCTATTGTGGTGAGTAAGCCCTCCGAGACCTGGGTTGCACATTTGCGTTTCTCAGTTGGGTCGACGGATTGGCACTGCTGACGAGACCGAACCAGTGCTTCTTAGCTTTTCAGTTCACGCTTCATTTGCTATATACAGGACGAATTTCTACCTTGAAATTGAATCAATTAATCCATTATTCACTTGAAAGGTAAACTGACAATGATTCGAAACGTTGAGTAACGATTCAGTGATTAGACAGTAATGTTTGAAAAACCACTGTATATCACAGCGGTAGGGTTGGCGGTGGTTGCACATACCGATGTCGTGAGTTTTCGACGGAATGGTTGTCTAACGGAAAACAAATAACACCGGACAGCTGTTAAGTTCTTGTACATCTGTCTTGGCAAGAGGAGCCGACTTCCAGTTGCCATTACATATTCGAACGTCATAACTTTGATCGAATGGCTAAATTAAGGTTTCCAGGCCTTTCCATTGACTCCCAACAACCAAGAAAAAGTGGTCTCGTGCTCTGTCTGTCATTAAATCACAAATCTGGTGGTCACTATTTACCAAGCATTTACATTTTAACTAATTATAATTTCGGGATGGGACATGAATGAAGTTAGACCCCTAAGCAGATTACAAGAAGACCATTCACCATGATGGTGAAAGTCAAACGGTCTGATTCAAAGAAGAAACTGACTCCAGAGAAAATGCATCCAGATAATACGTGGACGTGATAATCCGTTGAAACTTACGCGACGAAAACCTCACTTACTATCAGCAAATCTAATATTCACCTAGTTCGTGCATCTGACTGTCCAACTCGTTTAGTCAAACTGGCATAAATGTTCGCGAAGTGATAATTAGCGGCTCCCAGTGCATGCTCACATGCTGTTTCCATTCAATCGGTTATGTCACAGGTTCTCGAAAGAGCAGAGCTGTATGCTACCGAGCGCGTCCCCAGGTCGCGGATAGGGGAACGGCCGCCATCTCGCGGCTAACCGTGAA